ATGGAGCCATTAGTGCGCAAGTTAAATGGAAGCCCGGCGAAGAAAATCCTGCAATTTAATACGGGCCAATTCGAGTTTGTCAAATTAACTGGGCGAGTAAGTCGTCTTTTTCTACGTTTTTCATGGCGATTTATGGCGGTACATTGATTCGACGTTTTACTTTTGGACCTTAAAAAATACCAATAAAACTATTATCGTTTATATGTTATGATTTATTTTTAGAAATTCTGAAGGTGTATTATTAAATTATTTTGTATTTATTTCTATTTATTCCAATACCATAAAAACTTATACAATACGTATATTGTATTTAAGGTTTTTGGACGTGATTAATTTTTGGAACCTAATATTAAAACATTTTGTAAAATTTTATATTCAAATTTTAAGTAAATTACATTTTACATTCAAATAAATATTCTCCCAGAATATTTTTAGTTCACTTTCTCTTATTGTAATTTTAGAAAATATACACTTAGTTTGAAAAGTTGTTCTTAGTAGATAATTTTTCTAGTTTATAGTAAAAATTGCCATTGACCTACAATATCTATTATCCAAGACGAATATATTTCTGTGTATACAATTATAAATATCTGCAAATTTGGGATTCGAGTGAAATTCCCCATCCTGTAGACGGATTGCCTGAGGAGCTAGGCTAGATCTTCCTTCACCAACTGACTACTGGTCGACCTGCAAATTTGCACTAATTAAGGTGAACAAATCGGAGCCAGCACACTGTGGCCAAGTGCGGAAGCAATCAAACAAACGCAGTAACAGGGATTGCATTAGGATGCATACAAAAGCACTCCAGGACACCGGGGGACCACAAAAGGTGGTCGGGCAAACAGGTGACAAGCGGGCAGGAGCAGCACTTTCTGCCACAAAGAGCTGAGTGCTCCGGATTGGGATGAGGAAGGCAGAAGGAAGGAGCACCAGGAGGAGCTACAATGGCAGTTCCTGCCAGGACAACGATGGAAACAGGAAATCCTGGCGACACTAAAAATATTTTCTACCAAATTTACAATATGAAGTGGCTGGCTTGAGCTTGCTGCCAAAGGTGCTTGCTTATATGTGTAATATGGTATAGTTTAGTGTGTGTGTGCTGCCACAGCCTCACAAACTCATAACGTATGTATACAAAATGTTGCACTTCATTGCGTTGACAGAAACAAACGTGGCACCAATATTACTCCCCCTACAAATCCTTATTCAGAACTCTACGCCCAACCGCCTGGAAAACTCCATCTGTTGCTGAGTGCATTTCGAACATAATTTTCAATTTTCATGCATGTTTTGCCATTTGCTCGAGGAGTGCGAAATTGTTTCTCTGTGACATTTTTTGATTTGCTTAATGGTCGCCCGGTGTTTTGGCATTGCGAAAATGTACATTTTATTTAAACCCCTTCTAGTTGAGAAACACTCTGCATCCAGTAAAATTTAAGTATCAATAGAAGCTTTAGAGTGCAGGTCTCTACTCTATTTTTTTTTAAGGATTTTCATTTCATAATACCGGAACAGAAATCCTGTGTTTATAAAAATACAAGTACTAGTAAAGCCTTTTCCAAGTATTGCTGTTTCTGGCAGCCTGTCAGGAATTAAAATTCCTGAAAAATATGAAGAATATTTCGATGGAATGGATGGTATTTTCTATAGAAGATTCTTTTTGAAATTTAAATCAATTTGTGTTTTTTTAATAAACATGAAAAATTGTGTTCTTGTTGTAGAAATAAATTACATTAAATTGGAAATATGATAGTCCTATAAAGATTTAAAATGCTAACGATTTAAGATTTAAATGGTATGTCTTCTTTAATGTATTATTTTATTTTCAACCCTTAAGATACATTTTTAATCCCTAACACATATGCTGCTCTAAAGGTTTGCCATACTAAGCTTTATTAAATGTAAGCTCTTTACGTTTATTTGTTTTTTAGTAGCAACATATGTATGCTATTACTGTAATGCTCCTAAAATCACTTGACTAAACGATTTAAATTGGTCCCTTTGAGCTGGGTCCACATCGTTTGATATGCGCTTTGAGCCAAAGGCCGAAAACCGCTTAAAATGTGTGCCGGGCCACACAAAAAGCCCGAAATCCGTGTTAAAGTTGCAGCCAAAAAGCAGGCCAACAATGGGGGAATTGTACTGGTTTCGCTTTGGGTTTTCGGGACCCCCTTTCTGGACCCCTTCGGACTTGGTTCCGCAGGCAGCATAATTAATTGCGGTAATTAGTGTGTTGGCAACAAACAGCAAACACACGAAAACATTCAGCAAAACAGCAAGTGAAACCAGCTGAAAAACTGAGGACGAGGGCACTACCGATGCATTTACTTTATACAAGATTTGTGGGCCCCGTCGACTCCGGCATATTAGTTAGTTTTCGTGGAGGAAGTTTTATTTACGACCCCTGTATATATATATATAGACCGACTCTTGACTGGCGACTGTTGAAAGGCCGCCGGCACTAATTTAGCTGGCCGCCTTGGCAATTCTGTGGCATCATTAGAAAGCGGAAAATGATTTTTATGGCTAAGCAAACGGAAAAGGCAAGCGGCAGGGACAAATACTTCAAGAAAATCTCGGTAGCTAATAAGAATAAAAGGAGCGCCGAGCTCTATGGAAAGGATATAACCCCCGAGGGCCCCAAGGAACCAGGACTCCTCTTTGCTGTTCGCTTTAATTGGTCACTTGGCGAGCGCACAGAAGAACAATTTAATTTTCACCATTTTCTTATTATCTCTCTCTGCGTCTGTGAAAAACTCCATCTTCTCATCTCAGCTTTATGTAATTAAGGGCTGGGGGGCAGCCGTCTGTTGTGTGTTATTACCACCGCAGTCATTAAATCTTTTGTGTGTAATTAAAAAATTACAATTTAATGCTTTGCGCTCATTTATTGACACGGCGTGCGGTCGGTGGAAAAGCATCCACATCCGCATCCGCCCCGTGGGCAAGCAACTTCAACGAGCGGAAAATCGCGGAAATCCAAGTGGAGAAAATGTGGAACATTCGCGGGAAAAGGGGGGATAATGTGGCACTGATGGAATTCCTAATGATGCAAGCCAGCCCCCTGACTACAAAACGTGTTAAGTGTGTATTTATGGCTAGGTAAATGATGTTAAATCTTAACATTGCTTGCCTTTGTTAATGCTGATTACTTGGTAATGGAAAAGGATTCATTTTACAAGGGGAATTTACGGGAGTGCAAATGACCAATTTTGGAATAGATTGGATTGGATTGTAAGCCAAAACCGTATTTAAAAGGCTTAGAAGTTGCTACATTTGAATTTGTTTTAAGACATATATATTTAAAATATATAGAAACCTAGTTTACATTTAAATGTTAATCTATAAATTTATTGATTTAATAGAGTAACTGCTTAACATGGATATTTTCCATAGTAACTACCATTACATAGTTGCAAATATATTAATTCCAATTTAATTTTTTAATTATAGAGAAGACATGTTTAAAAAAAATCCATTTACTCCAGTTAGTTTTTAATGAAATGTATACATAAGCTGACAGCTTAAACTAATATTTGACATAATAATTACCCTTATATAAATAAAAATATATTAAATGATACCACCACTTTTCCTTTGCCACCACAAAAAATACAAAGCTTGATTTCAATTTAAAGCCAGGCCTTCACATGTGAGCTCTGAAAAATGTTGAGTGCTGGTCTTTCGATAAGCCCAATAAAAAAGAAACATATTTGTGAAAAAAGGGGAAAACTCGGCGCTGACATGGAAATTCCATTGCCCCCCATCGATTCCGATGGCAGATGCCTCCGAGAGGATTTCGCCGGAGGTTGGGGGAAAAATAAACTTTGGTCAAGCGTTGATTTGGTCTAAAAGCCCGTGCGAAACTGACCCACTTGCCGGTTTTTCGGCGGTTGCAGGCCTAAAATATCCGAATGCCATGGCATTTATTATTTTCCTCGTTTCTATTTTTTTGGTTCAGCTGTCGTGACTCAAACTGTTGACTCAAAGTGTTGATATTCAGAGCCGGTGGCTTTCATAAGCCAATAGGGAAATTGCCAGCCCTTTGAAATCACGCTATGCCGAATAATTTGATGCACGGAGAAATGGTTCCCGCTTTTGAAATTAAAAAGACGGGCTGATTGTTTTCAACCGCGCCCGTTCTATTTGCACACTAAATAACGCCCATGTTGATGGCTCATTGTGATGCGAATGGCAAATGCCAAATGTCAATGGCTTCGCTGATGAAATGAGAAGGGGCCTCCATGTCTGTGCGTAGTCAGAAAAATATTTAACGCGTGGTCGGCCCATAAAAGTCACTACGCACAATATGGCACCAGGCACCACAGACGCAGGAAAATCCGCATCCGCATCCGAATCCGAATCCGACGTTTGGCATTCAACTGATTTATGCGGCTGTCAGCGAACTGCTCCTGCACCTATGACTTTACCCCACGAAAAATCCCCCCAATACGCATATGCGGGTCCTCAGCTGAGCCCCAGTTGACGGGCCTGATTGACAAACCGCACTCTTTGCCCAAATGAACAATTGACAGGCGACCCACCGAATGTGGAAATTCCAAGTACAGGTTACGGTTGGGTTCAGTGAATCACATCAAATTGGCCTATGTCCTAATACAAGATGAGTTTAAATATTATTTACACGTCTGTTAGAGCTTGAGATGTTGCTGTGATTTGACACTGCTAAAATTCTATGATTTTTCGATAATAACAATAACATTGGATTATAAGTAGCATCCATTTTAAAACATTCGATTAAGTTGGTTAGATTTTTTATAAAATCATTAACACCTCTAACCTTAATTCAATTATTATTTTATGCATAACTTTTAGCCAGTGAAAAATCGCTGAAAAACGGAGGGTTGAAAAGTGATATATGTGTGACTTTTAAAAATGACATTATATTTTTATGTTACCCTAAATTAAAGGTTAATTAAAACCTAAAACGTATGTATTAAAGAAATTTATTTTTAGTAAAAATGTTTACATGTTGCAATTTTTTTAAAATTATAAGAAAGGGAAATTTGAAGGGGCCTTGCTAAATCTTAAGTCTTGTGATATTTTTTTTATGAAATTGTTTAATAAAATAGTTTTGGTTTCTAGTAGGCGCTATTTTTCGGAGGTCATATGTATTCTTAGATTTTTTCACATGACAATCTACTCCTGATAGTGAGGTCGTTTCCAAATCGCTAATAGATTTTTGTCTTCGTCATCGGGTAAAATAATTGGAACATAGATAGCGGGCATTTCCTGGTCAGCTTTTTTACTACTGATCTTTGATTTGCCTTTCAATCTCGGCTGATTTGAAGTAGAACACGATGGAAAGCCATGATCTATATTGCTCGAGTGTTTGCTGGATTTCCTCGATTTACTTTCGGTGGGTTCCTGGGGAACGGAGTACACATACTTGAGCTGCTCTAGGGGAAGACCCAAGACCCTGGCCACATAGTCCTTACCCACCATGCAATTCCCACGAGCTTTGCGATCGCAACCACCGCTCTGGCGATCTGCGTGATGGAACTCAAAGGATATGCCCAAGGGGCAGCTCTTCGGCTTGATGGTATTCCGCACATCGATCACACTGAAGGTGAGTATTTCCTGGAACACGCCCAACTGAATGGCCTCCTCGATGGCGGCATCGGTGACCAGAAAACATCCCAGAGAACTTCCCGAGCTCAAATCCCTCACATTCACATGGTATAGATTATCGGCTCGCAGGAATATGGATATTACGATATCGGTAAGACAGCGATTTCCAATCAAGTCCATCAGCTGGCAATGGAAACTATCCAGCTGGGTCAAACACTGCCCCCGGCAGAACTGACAGGTGCTCGAGGCCTTTTTCTCCAGCTTTTTCGGGGGACACTTCGTCTCGATACACTTACTGGTCAACGATTGAACACTGGCATTGAGGCTATCCACCTGGTTGCGAATGTCGAACAATTCCTGACTCTGAAGACCCTCCAATCGGCGATTCATCTCATATAACTGCTTGGATATATCAGTTATGGCTGGGCAGTTGCTACAAGGTGTTGGTTTCGTAGAGCAATGGGGTTTCTCCTCTGAAGGGCTACTTTCAAATTTAGTTATGCACTGGCATTTGGAATGAGCAGGATAATTTTGATTGCAAATAGGACATGTTTTCTGTTGTTCCACTGTTGATTTTTCGGTATATGGTGGGGGATTAAGGGACTTATCAGGAGACTGGGATTTGGATTGATTTTGACTATGTGGCTTAGAAGTTGGTGAAGTTTTGGGGTGATCCTGGGTAACAACTTTTGAATTCGGTTGAGCATGTGCCTTGCTCCTAGTTCCTTCTCCCGAGGGCACTACAATTATGGGTCTACTGCAACATCTTCGAGCTGATGGATTTCTTTCCCTCTCCTGAGGTGGATATTCTTTTGCCGGTTCAGCGGTATACGTTTTTTGGATTTTCCTAAATGGTTCTTGACCGCAGCAAACACCTATGTTTGGCAGATGACGTTCATCGGGCTCTGTACATGGGCAGTCCCGAAAGGGGGGATCAAAAGCAGGAATTTCCGTGGCCACTGGCTGTTCAAAGGATACACAACTTTTGCGCTGCTTCTCAGGTGCATCGCAGCATGGGGATTTAACGGGTTCCGGCTTTGAACAGCCACTGCTTTCTGATTTTTTTGAAGATTTATCACAACACTGACCGGAAGATTCCACAGGCTTATTATTTAAAGAGCAGTCAGTTGGTTGTTCCTTTTGCTGGTCGCAACTTCGAGAATTAGTTTTAAGTTCCTGAGAAGATTTATCCGAGTTTTTGGCAGAACCACCAGCAGATATGCGACTGTGGTGGGCCTGAGAACTTCGAGAACTTCGGTTATGGAATCTTCTGTGTATGGAACTTTGCACTCGGACCAGGGATCTCATATACCGCATATAGGCGCGATTGGAATCTGTGATTAAAAAATAATTTTAATGTAATGTTTGCTGAATGAATTTTCTAATATTTCTTACCCAAGCTAGTACCAAAATCGTAGATGCTCTGCACACGCGGGATCATCTGCTCTTCTAAACTGAAATCTGCTTCCAGTGGTTGGTTTGAATTCTGACTATAAAATCGGTCTGATTTACCCATTTCCCAACATTTTCCGGTTTTGTAATTTTTTTGTATTTTGTATAAAAAGGTTAATGTCAAATTTGGGAAAATAATCATTAATGACCAGGCTTACTGGAACCCTTGAAAATATTTTTAAGCCGCCTTTGCGTATTTCAGCTTTCCATTTTAAAACTTTTCCTTAAATATAGATTATACCACAAAACTCTGAGTAGAAAATATGCTGGTTTGGTATTCATAATAACTTTTATTTTTGGCTCACACACAAGTGGCAAACGAAAACCACAGAATATTTTATCTTTGGCTAGGACTTATGGCTTACATTTTACACCACTTAATAGAGGAAATATATTTCATTTTATTGGGTATAAACTATTTATGTAAAATATATATTTTGGATTAGTTTTGGCAACGGTCGTTTGCCTTTGTTTTGTGGCAAAAAGGTTGTTCTTACTGTTACATACAATTTGTATCGTTTATTTAAGCCCTGAAAATGTACACGTGAAAATGTTTATTTTGGCTTCGGACTATCAAAAAGATTATGTATCATATAAAAATTTCAAATGCTGGTGTTAAGCTCTTTCAAATTGTTATTTATTGTTTGATGCGTTTGATGTTTTACTCGAGGCTTTAGATGAAAATGGTATATATGTAGTTGAGTTGAAAGGGTTGTGTAGGTTTATCGAATGAAGGAAGGCTTATGCTTGTGTATGTATTTAACTCTTGCAGAGTAAAATAATTCATATTCTTTTTCTAATTTGGCAAGTTTCTGAATATATATATAAGATTTGGCAACAAAACTTCTTTTAAGTTGCAAGGCTTAAGCTCAGCAGGAAAACGTCCAATTCGAGTTAAAATATTTACTAGTTTAATTTAAATTTCTCACAATGAGGAAAGTTGAGCAAAGCTTTTGATTTGCAACGTTTTGGGGAGCCATAGATTTTCTTTAACCGCTATGAGGATTTGTTTAAATATAATATACTTTTTCCTATAAGTTCTCCATTAATATCTTTCAAATCGAAGCATTCAAAGCTAAAAAGAAACTCTCACTAAACTTAATCTTAACATTGTTTTGGGTTATTTTAACGCACTGAACTTAAGAGTTAACCCATTTTCTTAGACCGAGCAAATCAGACAGAAAAGTGTCCCCGTGGACACGTCTTAAAGCTATACAAAGCACATGGGGGTTAAGGTCCTCGTTTCCGGTTCCGCTAGGAGCATCACCCGTCATCCTTCATCCGCCTGCAGAATCAGATTCATCCGTGGTTCGGCCACATAAGGCCCATTAGTGTTAGAAGACCCAAGAGGAGAGTCATGGGCCTGGGGATCCCCGAAGATGCACGAGGCTCCAGAGACAATGTCTTATACTTCTCCACCCTGGTGAAGTCACTGAAGCCAGCCAGGTTTCGAGATGCGGCTCTCACCAGGTAGTTTGTATCTGGCTCTAAATTCGTCAGAAGGAATGTTGCACCTTAAAAAAAAGATGAAAGGGACTTTAAACACTGAAGAAATTTAAATTTAAATCTAAAATAAATAAAATAAAAAATTTTTTTCAATCCTTAAGATCAAATAAAAGTAAATATCTGCAATATTCTAGAGTCAATATCAAATTTGTTGGTCTAGAATGCATGCTCCTAAAAATATTTTGTTTAAATTGAGTACAAAAATAAATTGTTAAATTAAGTAAATAAATTCGTAGTCGAAGGCCTCGTAGCTGGCACTACATCACCTATGTTAGTATTAGTTTTGTATACTTTACATTATACATTTTATTTACGACCTACTTACTAAAAAAGTAGTTAAATAACTGTTTAGTAGTTGATTAATAATTGGATTTTATCTTAACTTATCCTCCCTTTTTTTTACTTTTCCTAACTCACCTTCTTCGAAGGGATAGTCCTTCCGCCTGGCATTGGTCCACTTGCCCGCCTCCGACTTGAACTCCATTTCGGTCATGTACTCGATGCGGAAACCATTGACCCCCATGGGACTATCTGGGGGACCTCGAGGAGCACTCAGGACCACGTCGAAGGTGTTCGAATTGAAGCCGCGCAACTCAAAGTTGGTCGGAGCAGGAGGTTTGTCACCCTGCTCAAGTCGCGTGATCCTCTCGATGACGCCCAGGTCGTTCTTAGCACGACACCTGTAATTATCGAAGGCGCTGGTGTTCAGCACGTGGATGGTGAGGCGGGACCAATAACTATCCGTCTCGATGGTGTAGGTCCTGTTGTTGCTGTACAGCTTGTTGTGTTTGCGGTACCAGGTGAAATTGGCAGGTGGTTCCGCCAGAGCCTCGCACATAAGGGTAGCAGTGCCATTGATATACGCGTACTTTAGGCTCACAAAGGGCGTCTTGGACCAAGTGGGCTTGTCTGTATAGGAAATAAATCTTGAATTAAGCATCAACTAAGTAATATTCCCATTAAATCAAAAAGGCAATAAATTATAAAAACTACTTTCTTTGTTAAATCAAGAAACAAATGGGGTAGTTTGTGCAAATCAACTTGAAAATGCCTAAAATGCCAAAAACGCAGTCCTCAACTGGCAAATGACAGCTCGAAGCGCGGCGCTCAAAGGTATGCCATGGAAATGGAAAAACCATGTCCGCTAACCATAAATCAGTCCCAACCAAGTTAAGCCATTAGCTGCATGTGTGCCACGCCCACTGGCCGAACATCAGGAACACCGGCCTACCTCGGTATCCATCAAAAGAGGTCCTTGTGCCGCCAGTGTAATTCCAACGTTTTTCGTGCTCAAAAACTATTTACCGCTCAGTGCATTGCATACTAAGCGCAAACTCAAAATTTCAAGCCCCCTTTCATGGGAAAAAACAAAACGGTGCTCAAGTCATTTCGACAGGTCACCCCGAATTGCACATTGGAACTAGGTCAGATCAAAAATGTTTAAGATTAATACCAATTAATACCAAATAAACCAAACTTGTATAAAATATATATTTTGAGTAGAATGGCAGTTCTTCATTAAAATCAATAAAGGTGTAAGGCTAACTTTTGTAAACCTAACAAATTAGATTGAAAATAAAAAAAACAATCGCACTTTTTACAAACCACACCGGTATTAAATGTAATAATACCATTATTTTTAAGAACAATTTTAAAATAAAATAAAAATATACAAGTTTAGAAAATTTATAAAAGGTTTCTGCGGCTTACATTTGTATTTAGTTTTGTAGGGCTTTCTTATGTTAGTAAAATTCCCTTAAAAGTAGTATCCCTGTCCCAAGGTGCATTTGTTTTTTTTTTGTATTTTTTTTGGAAATCATAAATCACACTCACGTTCGATTTTCATCAAAACTGTGCGCTCCTGCATATCGGAAGCAATCGAGTTGACTTGGTATGCCCGGCACGCGTACTCGCCGGTGTCATTCTGTGTTACCTTGTTGATGAGCAAACCATCGGCCAGGATGCGGAACTTGGAGTCGTCGGCCGCTGCACATGGAATGGAGTGGAAAAGGGCAGATACATAGTTGGGTTTTTGGGCTCGAAATACCCCTAGAGGGTAGGGGTTTTGGGAATGCAAAATGCTCATTATCTTCGGGGGCTCTTACCGCCAGCACTGATGGGCTGTCCATTGAAGTGCCAGGTGACATTCGGCTGGGGTTCGCCTTTCACCTCGCACAGAATGGTGGCCTTCTCGCCCTCCTTAACCGTCATCACGGTGGCGTTTTCCGTGAATGTAATTTTCTCTGGGCGTGTGCGGGAAAACAATGCAATATTAATGACTGACCCATGGCCTACGGCGATTCCAGCACTTACGGTACACAATCAAATCGAAGGATTTACTATGCAGACTTCCATCAGCAGCTTCGCAGGACCAATTGCCCTTGTCGGCCAGTGCGATGTGGGCGAAAACGATTTTCAATTGTTCTGCGCAAGGAAAATAAACAATCGAACGCGACGGAGAGTGAAAAAGAAATGGAAAATGGGAAATTGAGTAAGGAATACATAGAAAAAGGTTAAAATGGGTTCGCAAAACAAAGCGTTGATACCCCATAAGAACGATTCAAGGTTTATGAGTATTCGATTCTAGGAAGGCTGGTCTAATTGAAATCTATTATTCAAAATGTGGGTATATCTTAAATTATTATTTATAAGGTCTCCTGAAACTTGTATTATATTAAACCCCTTTAATGACTTTTGAAATACGGCTCTCTAGTAAAGAAAATAATAATTGAGCTCTATTATTAAGAAGCCAACCTCCAAAGTCTAAGAATTTAAACAATTTTAAATTGTATTTAAAGGTCTGTCCAATTTATTCTTTTAATTTTGCTTCTACTGGGTATTTGGCTGCAAAGAATGTGGCTGGGGAAATGCAATTAATTGCGTTTGTTGTGCCAGTGGCCTTGTATTCACTCGACCCCTGACCCCTGACCTCCTGCCCCAACTATCCATTCCCCTGCAGTGTTTCTTTCTGTTTTATCTAGCTCATTCCAAACCAAACCCTCTGTATCCCCCCAAACCCATTCGATCCTTACCTGCCGATGTTTGCTCAATGTGAATGCGTCCTTTGTGCTCGCGTATAATTTCGCCTTTTGGCGATTTCCAATGCAGCACCACTTTTGGATCGGGACTACGGCACTGGACGATGAGGGATTCGTTTGTATACCGGACCACGCTGTGCTCCGCCGGACTGAGGGACAGACTCTCATGGTGATTCGCCCAGGCGACAGCTGCAATGGAAAAACAGAGGGTAGGGGATATTTGTACCATACGATATAATGACTCGTTAATTGCCCTCCCCGTTTGAAATGTCAACTGAAAAGTTAAGGACAAGTTGCTGCGAGTGTCACTGCAATCGCATTTGCATAACAAGGCAAGCTGCTCAGAGCATTTTATTTACTTAACAACTTTAATAACAAGACTTAAGGAACTTATGGAAGTGGAGACATGTTTCAGAAACCTCTTCTGAATTTTAACTTAATTTAGATGACATATTCCTTAAAGTTCCACATATATTTTAATATATTTTACATTCGGATAAAAACATTTGTCCACTTTGATTCTTTTAACAACATCGATAGCCTATCATAAAACTCTCAATAATTCCTGTGTTAAACTCTCAAAACAATATATCGACCACATAGGTAAGCCTTTTAACGTTTAGTTGCCCATATCATGTCCATACTCAACCACTAATTGAAAAACATTATTGAACATTTAACCACAATCTTCGAAAGATGTGCAAAAGAAACATAGAACTGCTTTTGAGATTTTATTTTTATTTATTTGGCATAAATCAGTTGGCACGCAATTTATGTGGGCAATTTATATTTGGAAAACCGGCTGCTAACATACAGCAAACTGCACTCAACGGAGCGAAATCGTTGCCGCAACTCAGACTTTCACTTCTTGTTTTGCGCCTCGTCTTGGCAAAATGTTCATTGAAATTTATCACAAGAAATTGCAATTTCATTTCGCCAATTCGTGTCAATCTGCAGAGGGAAAAGCGAGCCGGCAGGCAAACTTGAGGCAGGATGAGGCTGGCAGGTCCAAAAACTTGAGCCAGAACCGGATGCGGATGCGGATGGGGATGGGGATGCGGATGCCTCTGCAGCCCTTTGGGTATTCGGGCAATGTATAGATGCAAAAATTTCTTGCATACTTTTTAATAAAGTTTGTTTCCCAAGCCCAAAGTGGCAAAGATGGAATAAAAACAAAAACTACGAAACATGATGGGGTGTGGGCCACATGATTGCATCGTTCATTTCGTTGGCAAAAACTTTTGCGTTGCCTTTTTCTGCTTGTGCAAATTTTATTGGCAGCAGTACGGACATATTGAAATTATACAACTACATAATGAAATACCCGCATATATATTGTGAGGGGGGTGGGGAGTGGTACACCAAACGGAGCCATGTACAAGGATCCAGGAGCAAGCCAAGCACCATCTCTCGGTGGAACATTATTAACAATGCATCTAGGGCAAAGATGTTCGCAATTAGGTTTCGGTAGTGAAAACTTTGCTAGAATTAATTAGCACAGCTCAACTTTGAATTGAAATGATTTAAAATGTGGGCAAATAAATTTCAGCTTGGCTCTTTGAATTGGTTTCTTTTAATTGAAATCAGTTCTTGGGCTTGATTTTAAGTTTTTGCTTTATATTACTTGAAATATATTCCTATCTCAGTTTCGGAAAATTCATAGATATTTTTTGAAGTCCTTATTAAGTCATTTTGCATTAAAGCCACCTCTTTATGTACTTCTACTCTTGCTTTCCTTGGGAAACTTTCTGATATCTTAACGAATCAATGTCGACATCAGCCAGAGTTGCCAAACAATGGGAATATTACTTTTTATCGCGCTCTTGGCACAACTTACACGCCCCCCTTTTCCTTCCTTATATGTGCTCTATATAGTTATGGGAGCGTACAAATATTTGCATTGTTTGCCCTCACCTGCAGACGCCAACGTCACTGTCTCTGTTGCGTCTGTCTGTTACAAAAAGCGAGGATGACTATGTGACTTGTTACACAGCGAGAAAAGAATGCTATAAGAAATAACACGTCCTGTTTTATAAGGAACTTTTACAAGAAATCCTTTGAGACTTGAGATATTTAAACTAAGAACATTTTATAAGGGTATGTCAGTAATGATACCTTTACAAAATGGTATTAAAATAAAATCTTTATATTTTAAACTATTATATCTACTCTAAAGATACTCAAAGTTCGGTTTGAAATAATCCAAAAAAGGAATCAGATATATAAGGGACTTTTCAAATTAAGTAAGTTATGATATGATTATAGAAAATTTGTAGAAATAAAACCTTAAGATAGTTTCCAAAATAAAATATGATAATAACTCAGACTTTTATGATACTTCGTATTTCAATATAAAATGCATTTAGGAATTTAAGAAAAATACAACCTTTAGATCTTAAATTAAATAAGCTGGTATATCAATTCTTAAGAGGCTTCAAGGCCTTGAAAATGATATGATATGATATGACATGATATGCTTTTAGGAACTTAAGAAAAATAAACTTTTTAGATCTTAAATTAAATAAGCTTGTATATCAATTCTTAAGAGGCTTCAAGGCCTTGAAAAGATAAATTTATTAAAATAATTTCGAACGAATTCTAACTCGGAAACATATTTTTCTTCCGTGTAGATCCTGTGGCTCCTGTTGCTGCTTCCTGTCAGCGTTGCTGATATCTTGGCCAAAAGGACGTGGGATTTCATAAAATTTCATGTGCCAACCAAAGTCGCAGCACATGCGAGCTTAATGACAGCGTCACGGAAAAATAAAATAAATATGTGCCAGAGCAAAAGTAAATGTATAGCAGTGCCAAGTGTGAGAAAAACAAACGGTTAGTGGTAAATCGGAAATGGCATTCCCACAAGAGCGAAATGAAATTATCTGGTTGGCTGTTGGCATTGTTCGGCGGCCTTTATAAATGCATTATGCCGTGCACTCGTGTGCACTGTGAGTTGTGGAAAAAAGGGTGAAAAAAAGGGAAAAAGGGAATAAAAAGCTGAGGAAAAACTGCAGCTGGCGGTGGGTGGTTGGGTGTTTGGGCGCCATATACCGGGTGGAGTTGAGATGTTGAGCGGTAACACGTGCGAACTGCCAAAAAATGCAACCAAGCATGCAGCGCGTGGGCGACGTCCTGTGAACTGACGTACAATGCCAACTGGTCCTGTCAGGAGTGCGAATGAGGTCCTGTGTGCGCTCTGGGATATGGCAAAGTGTTAGCCTGGAAATTCCGTTAAATGAAATGCATTATTCAGCTGCATTTCTGCCGCCATGATATCCGCATTTGTCGTTTACAAAGTCACGCAGATTTACGCATTTATTCGTGTTCTTTGTTCCATAATTACAATTATTTAATTATCAATTTTAAAAAACCGAAAGGAACTTCCACTATTTCCCTTAAGCCTTGGCCAAAATAAACTTTCAAGTTAAAGAGTGAACAAGAGATAAAATATTTATGTGACTCTATATTTTTTATGTTTATGACAAAAGCACTTAAAATGCATTTATTAGGGAAATAGTTATTTTTAATAGGTCGTAAACGTATATTCAAATATTACAGAAAACCCCATTTACTTCATCTGACATTTATTGCTGCTTGAGGCTTCTATTCCACGTGAAGTTGCAGGCATTTGTTTTTAATTTATTCATCCGGAATTTTAATGAAATTTTCCTTCCGTTTTTTAAGACGGGTCTGCAATTCAATTTCCATTAGCTCGACGAAAAACTTTTTAATTATTTTCCAATGCTTAATGGGAGGACTGGGTCCTCGGCTTCTGAATTTTATTTGCCTCGAAATGCTGCAAGTTTTCCTCTTTGTGCGACATTTTTGTTTTGCATTAACTCTGGCAAAAAAGTTTGTTATTATTTTTTTGAATTTTTTTTTGTGTTTGTAAGCCCAGTACGCACGCATGCTCTCAACTTCAATGAAAAAGTTTTAATTTTGCAGTTGCAATAGGGGAAAAGGGGAACAGCCAGTGAAAAGTCCCAGGCTCCACCATTCAATGTGTTTAAATGTCAGCATAAACGCATATGAAGCGCACTTAACCTGAATTATGCGCGGATTTTCCCCATCACAGGCCTAAAGGAAAATCCCGGAAAAATAAAAGTAGCATTTGTACGAGCTTAACCCATTTCTGTCAGGGGTTTTTTTTCTGCTTATACCGTACGTGGCCAGAAAAGTTTGGTCATGGTTAACTTTTTTCCAAAAGCCAGACACAGACTATGGAAGTAACTACTACAGTTCCCATCAGGGCAATAACCTGACCTAACCATTATTACAGTTTTGGAATATGCTGGCCAGGAATTTAATTCCAATGGCACACAAAGCACGTAATGCCAAAACATACATAAATCATCAGCGCGTCTCCGCACAAGAATATATTTCCGCTATAAAATGGACGTTTCCGCATTTTGGCCAACTGAAGGAGCCACGTCTTGGTTTTGCTCTTGGGAAACTTGGCCATGGCCAGCAGGAAAACAGGAAGTCAGGTTGGCTTTTTCGGTTCTGCTTTCCCAGCTGCAGATGCAGTTGCAGTTGCTGTTTTTCCGGTGGAAATGCAGGTGGGTAGGAAAACTTAGTGGTGCTTCACCTTGAGATGCCTTTTTAATAGTTTTCCAGCTGACACTCGGCTCTCCATGCTCTTTTCTTTCAGTTTGGCAATTAATTCTTTTTTCCTGCTGCCCCCCTTCCAAACCAGTTCATAAATTTTCTATTATGTGAGTGCGCGCCGGAAAATACATTTATGCGTTTTTAAACGCCTGACAGCTTATAATTCTCGCAGGCTCTTTGAGGAAGCTGGCGCATATAAATTTGCAACTGTCGGCCGATAAGAACCCAGTGTCCAAGGATGCGGGTGTGGCACTCCGGTCCTTTCGTCCACTATTTCAATCCTGAAAAGGACACTCCTGCCCATGATTTGCCCTTCAACTCATTCATCAGCATGGTGCGCCTTTGACTTTTGAAACAAAAGTTTTGACAAACTTTACTTTCCACTTGGGAGGAGGAACACGAAGCCAGTTTAAACTGACGCTGTCGTAAAGCTCCATAAAAGTTAGTGCTACTTAAATATTTTAAACATTTTATAGATAAATCTGCGAACAGTGGCTCACTGTCAGTTGCGATTGGGATTTGTGTCAACGGAATATAAAATGTGCTCTAAGAATTGAACAGGATTGAAATGGACTTTGTATTGC